ATTTTTTTTTTGGACCGACAGAGTCCACAATTATTGGATGCAAGAATACTACACAGCTCTTCGTCCGGTGCAATTGTGTAATTAAATTCAAAGCTACTCTCTCTCTCATCAATCTCATCCCTCAATTAGCCCTGATCTCAGGTGTTAATTAATTATATTGGCGAATTCATGCATATATTTGGACAGGAGATCATACATCGGATAAATTTCAGCCAATAATGTGTGTGCGTGCGTGTGTGTGTTTAATAATATTCCTTTTAATCATGTTGTCGACAAAAATTTGAACGCTTATTATACTACTTAACCTCCTCTTGAGAATAATAATCCTTCCATTTCATATCTATATCGTGGTTGTATATTATGATTAGGGATGGAAATAAGTTAGATTAAGTTAGGCTTTGGCCAAATAAAACTAAGTCTGTATGATAAATCTGAGGCCTAAACTTGATCTAAAGTCTATATAAAGTTTTTTTTATAGTTCAAACATGAGCCTACTTTAAGCTTGGCCTGGCTTATAAACCTATTTAAAAGTCTATTTAAAAATAAAATCTTTTAAATAGGCTTGCATTTTAATTTTAAACGTCTCAAATATATTTTAGGGTTATTATAATATATAATATATAACCTTATTATAATATATAAAAATTAAAAGGACTTATTAACTGCAATATAATATAACAATAAAGTAATAATGTAAAGTTAATATATAAGTCAAATATGATTGAAAATATAACTAGAAGCAATAAAAAATAAATTGATTAAAAATGATATGGTGAAGCTGATGAGCTTGTGATGTAATACATAATATATATATATATATATATATATAAGTTGGCCAGTTGGGCTCGTAGGCTAAGCCTTGAAAAAATAAACCTGACCTATTTAACTAAATAAATTTAATTAAAGGCTTAAGCCTGGCCTAAGCCTATTTAATAAGTATGCTAAGCTAGGTTTAAAGTAGGTCAGATTGTAAGTCCTTGTTAAGGGCCTAACTTATTCTCATCCCTAATTATGACACATATGGATTAAGAATTCTTTAATTAATGTAATTAAAATAACACAATAAATTGACTAAGATACCCTCATATAATCCCTCTTATTTTAATTCTTTTTTTTTTCCAATTTTCTATGTTTGTTGAAAAAATTGTCACTATTGATTCTCACATTAAAAGGAAAATTGACTCGCGAAATTCATGAACCCTTAAAAGAGAACTTATTCTGCCCAAAACTGCGAGAAGAAGAATAATTCTTGTTCTGGGAAGAAACAAAAGAATAATTTAACTTAGGACACGCAAAATTAAGATTTATCCAAGTGAAAATGACATTTAAGTCTTCTTAAGATAATTTATCATAACACGAACACATCAATTTTGCTTCGAATATTATTTATGAAAACACATATATGTTGTTAAAAGCTAAGTTTTGATTTGTATTTTTTATTAGGATTTTCTCATAAATTTAAGACATTAAAATTTATATTTTAACAATAACATATAAGTATTTTCATAATATAATATCCAATATAAAACTGATAGGTTTTTATTGTAATAATTTTTTTTTAAAAGGGCATTAAGTTTTATTCTCCTTTTATTTAATGTACATTGGCCAATTCAGTTTTTAGCTCTTCACGCCCCAATGCAAAAGCATTCTATTTCTGCATAACCCAGGAAAATTAAAAAAGAAAAAAAAAACATGGCCTATTTAAATACGACATAGGGCAGCCATAGGTTTGAGAAAAATTAAAGTAGACTTTTGTAAAATTCTTCATAGAAATTCTCACTTTAGGAAAGAATAATGAATTTGGCCCGGAAAAAGCAAAGAATATATAATAAAATCTCCAATTAAAATATTAAAAATCCTGCTGTCTCAGGTAAAGAATATTCTATATATACTTCACAGTGGAACCTCAATCTTTTGATTGCATGACAATAGCAGTATACCATTGAAATATTTTATGTTTTTGGGAATTGAGTCTGTTCTACTGCACTTAAAATACAATATCTTTTTAAGAAAAAGTTCGTAAAAGAGGGAAAAAGTAGAGAAGAAGGAAAAAGAAAAAATCAAAACAAAAAGAGGATGTTGTGGCATAATCAAGGAAAAGTGGGTCATGAAGCCAGTATTGACCTTCCAGTGTGAATTGTGAATAATTGGTGAGATGCATGGACCTGCTTTATCTAGAACCATGGATATGATTGTAGACTGAATGGTCTCATTTGACAGGCTGAGGTCTTCATTAATATTTAAAAAAAAAAAATATTTTTTTCATCTCAAATTACAAAATATTTTTAAATAAAATTTTACATATAAATAAATTTCATTAAATACATTTAATAATATTATTTTTTTAAAATATAAATATAAATTTTTTAAAAATACACATTATTTAATATATTAAAAAGAGAAAGAACGAAAATTGATTATAGAGAAAGAAACGATAGCATTGTAATTGACGTATTTAATGAAACCTTAATTTACTCAAAGTGTTTTATATTTTGAGGTTGAAAAATTATTTTAAAAGTGTCCTATAATTTGAGATGGGGAGAATAATATAAAGCGAATATGATATTTTATAGAATACTTTTTGAGGTGAGTATTATTTCCTTAAAAAAGGAACTGAATGTTCATGTATATTTAGGAGTTTAGTTTGGGTGCTCATCATTTTAATGAGATATGAACCATTTAGATTTTGATCTGGATAGTCCAAATTTAAACCATTAGTATATATTATATTTTTGAAAATAAAATTTCAAAATTATAAAATAATTTTAATAAATTTTTATTTTTTAATATAGTCTATATTTAACTTGGAGGATTCAACTTAATATTAAAATTTTTATAATTATAATATATTGATTATTTAGATGTACTGTGCATGATTCAGATCAACACCAAATTAAGTCTAGACTGTGCAGAGTGCATCTGAATAGTCAATATAAATTAATTATAACAATTTGAATATTAAATTGGACCCTTCAAATTAAATCTAGATTATATTAAAAATAAAAAAATTATTAAAATTATTTTATATTTTTTATACATTTTTATTTTAAAAAATAATATAATATATAATAATGATTTAAATTTGGATAGTCTAGATTTCATCACAATAATGAGCACCCAAACCGGGTCTGTATATTTAGGAGTGAAAATTGTTCTAGTTTAATTTAAAGAAAATATAACAGGAACCATTAAAATCACATGTATGCCATGGAATTAGATGAAACAGTAGGAGTGAACGCAAGAGCTTACACAAATTGAAAAGAGACAATGATTAATGAGAGGATCTTGGACTTTCCATGGGGGAAGGTTTGAATGTATCTTTCCAAAGACTCATATGGTGACATTTCTTTCTACAAGGAACAATTCTCGGAACATAATTATAGGGACTAGTAGTCGACTAATTCTTGGTAATGATTAACTGTATATGTTAATCCAATGAGTTGGATTCTATCCATCGTGTCAATGACACCTTGTTGATTAATAATGCGTGGTTGCCACTCTGCTGCTGCTGCGGCGGCGATAATCTAACAGACAATAATTTTAGCTTTAGACATATGGTGTGCGTGCCTGTTGGGAGGAGTATTATTTATTGATAGCAAAAATTTGCTTTGATATATTTACTATTTTGTGGAAAATAATCAAGTGAATTGAGTTTTAGAAGTTCGTTAAAGTTAATGCACGGTATTTAGATTCAAATAACTTTTATAAAAAAATTAATTAACTAATAAAATTGTCACATTGACAATAAATTAAATTGGAATACACAATCTCATTGATTATAAGTTAAATCTTTATCAAACAATATTTCAAATCGAGATATTTATTATTATTGTTTTGTTTTTGGTAGAAGATATTTATTATTATTATATTATGATTATTATTAGAAAGTGGGGGGTGAAGATGAAAGGTGAGGTGGGGGGGTGGGGAGAAGGGGGAAAGGGGAAGGAAACGTGAATGTGGATAGTCAAAATGGGAACACCTTTTAGTTTGCTTGGAGTGGGTGTGACTGTTGACCATGAGACGCGCAAAGCGTTTTCATTCGTAGAATGAGCACAGCGTGCTTATCACTCCTAGATTAATTTGGGCCTTAAATTTATCTTAAGATATTTTTATAGTTTTATTTTAAATTAATTTTTAATATTATATTTATTAAAATAAAAATTATAAAAAAATTAATATTCAATTTAAGTGGTCTTCTGTGCTTATCGAGAAACGAGCACAAAACTTTTATTTTTATTCTTATCAAGTTTTAAATAATTGGCACAAAACTTTAAGTCTGGATTTAAATTATAATTTTTTTATCTTAATAAATTTAATATTAAAAATTACTTAAAAATCAATTTAAAATGAATGGCTACGATCATTTTGAGATAAATTGAAGTTTTAGATTATCCCTTAGGCTGATGGGCGCACCGAATGCAGACGCGGGAATGTCCTCCTCTTCACAAACTTCTCTCTCATTGATGTGTCACTCTACAGTGATACTCTTTCATTCCTCCCTCGCTCACCCCACCGTTCTTTAATTTCTTCACTCTTTTGTTTTTACTTTTTAGGAAAAAGATTCTCTCCTGCTGAGTTGTGTCCCAGTCCATCCTGGTGTGTGTAAAAGTGTGGCAAAGTGGTAAATATTTCACAGAAGGAAGCCTAAAGAAAAAAGTTATCATTGATGTTTTTAACAACCAGTAGGGAACTTGAGGGAAGCACCAGGAGAGAACTGCTGCTCCCTTTTTTACTACTCTTGTTCTCACTCCATACTAACTTGTTCCTTTGTTCCTATTTCCATGATAACACCACCTCTTTACACAAATAAAATTAATAAGATTCAATATTTATATTCACATGTATGTTTGTGAGTTATAAGTAATTAAGTTACTCTTTTTTTTTTTTATAAAAGGAACTCCACACCATAGTTGATCTAACATTTTAGCTCGACAGACCTTTTTATCATCTCAATGCAGACTAAACTCCATTTATTATTTTGAATAAAGAAGACATTAAAAAAACAAAAACTGACTCGTGAAGTCATTGAGAAATCTATTTAATATTCAAACAATATACACCATCACACACAGCTGGGCTCCATCCACATTACGTCGACGCTGGTGGTTACATGAAAATTAAAACCAAAATAAAAATAAGAAAATAAAAGATCCCAGACAATATTAAACAGCAGCTTGTTCCTTTCACTACTAACATGTCAAGCGGAGTCAACTCTTTGAACCCTATTTTCCCATCTGACAACAAAACATACAGAGAAGAGGAAAGAAAAAACCTAAAGTACGCTAAATCAAAGCAGCTGGGGTGCAAATTATATCTGGACCCTTCCACTCATGGATGATTCATGATCTCATTAGCCTGCAGCTTTCTGGAGGAGGGCCAGCCTATTATCGCCGAGCCTTGACTTGTACATAGCCTTCTTGTATTCACACCATGTGAATTCCTTGTACAGGCTCTCTTCTTCCTCCCCCATTAATGAAGCTAGAGGTCCTATCTTTTCGCTCAACGGTGGTCCTCCGAAGTATATCATTGACAGCCTTGACCTGCTCGGGTCTGCCACAACCCTGTGCTTCACGCTCTTGAACCTCCCGTTCGTCATCACCTGCATCCATGTTTAACAAAAATGTTGAACCCGACTTCTGTACATATTGTTGATTACTACAGCAGTTTATCATTACTGATAAGAAAAAAAGAATCTTCTGTGAAATCAAATGTTTGGCTGATATTATCGCGTCTTTTTCAACCAATTAAGGGATCATGATTGTTCTCGCGACACATAGAGCAGAGAGAGAGGGAGAGGGTTAAAAAGGCGGATAAGATAGATGTCAATACTAAGTAAAAAAATTACAGGAAGAATTTGAACAGATTTGATTTGAGGTAAAATGAATCGTTGTAACTGTAGATTGAGATGGGTGGTACCTGCAGGGTATCGCCAATGTTGATGAAAAACGAGGTGTGATCCGATGGGACCGAAACCCAGGCCCCATCTCTGAGGCAAATTTGCAGGCCCGACGTGTTGTTGGATCTCAGCACAGAAATCAACTGTGGGTCCGTGTGTTCTCCGAACCCAATCAAGCTCTTTCCACTCAATGCTTCCTGCTCCGAACACGGGGGATAGTGGTTCAGCCTGAACAGAGAATCGCTCTTCTCGTCCCTCAGCAGCCTGCTAAATGCATTCCTTTCTTCAATACCCAGCCCGTCCGCCATTAATTCCAACACCTGATAGCTCAGGTTCCTCACCGCCGAAACATATTTCTCCAAAGCAGAGCTGCCAATTGTTAAACCCAGATGAGAAAAAGAAAAAAATATTTGTTTGTTATTACGCAACGTTGTCCACGAGCTTTGTTTATCTGAAAGGTAAAATCTCAAAATGCTTCTGAAGAGGAACCAAACTCCATTCATGAAGACGATATACTGTGTTGGTTGAGAACAGGGGAATGAAAGAAAGAAGCAGGGGACTCTGTTTTGCTTACCAGAAAGCAGGGGGGTATTGATTGAAGACGAAGAGAGTGTTGGGCGAGATGACATCGGGATTAAAGTTGAGGAGGAGATATTCGATCCAACCGACATCGCCGTTCCAGCCAATTCTTTTGCTTCCATAGCCGAAAGGGTCAGGAGGGCCTGCGCGGTCTTTGTCGGACTGAGGTCTGGCGAAGAACCTGAGGGCTTCATTCTCGACAGCAGTGATCAACTCCATTGGGACGCCATGGTTGAGGAGTTTGAAGAAGCCGAATTCCTGGGAGGCCTGGATGACAAGGGACTTGGCGTCGGAGCGGGAGAGGTCGACAACAGGGATTCCGTCGAAGAAGGTGGCGGGCTTGTTGCAGGACTTGAAGAGGAAGAGGTTGTCAGGAGGAGGAGGACGAGACACAGCAACCATGGCTGAGAGAAGCAGAGGAAGGTGATGGGGGGAGAGAGAGAGAGAGAGAGAGAGATGAGTTAGGAGATTAGGGTTGTGAATGGAAGGGAAGGGTGGGTTAGTGGGGTTTAAATGGAGGAGAGGAATGAGAGGATGAGTGCATGAGAGCGGTGAGCGAGAGGCGTTACCAACTATAAAAATCAGCCATCTGGCCACTTCATTGTCTGCTTCGCATTTATACTATCGACACTGCAATTATACTTCTTTTTTTCTTCTTTATGCTCACCATCTCTCTGTGACCCTCTTACTGCTAGCAACCCCCACCCCCCCCCCCCCCTTTCCTGGAAATACTCTGTCCTTTTTTTTTAATCCCTTTCCTGTAAAAACTCTGTCCTTTTTTTTTTATTGTAAAAAAAAAAAAAGGTATCCTGTAACCGGCAGTTATAAAGTTAATCTGTTGCGTTTGAAGGGCCCATGCTACCATCTATGCTACAATCGTACGCCCTTTATTTTTGAACACGAGAGAATTTAACATGTATCAAGGAGCATGTATTCCAATTTTTTCAAATTCTTCATGATAGTTTATTCTTATTAGACAAATTTATTTAATTAATTATAGCGATAATTTAATAAAAAAAATTAAATTCAGATATAACTATTATACATAATCAACTATATTAAAGAGTGTGAATTAATTATTTTCTTTTATATTTAAAAATAGAGAGCATACAATTTATAATTATATACTCCCTCTATTTAAAAATATAAGGCATTTTTTGAGGATTTTGATATTTAAAAATGTAAAATATTTTTAATTTTTTGAGATGGGATCATTATTTTTTTTTAAAAGTGCATCTATTGATAATGACTTCATATCTATTATAAAGTGTTTAATAGGAATAAATGTAAAAAGATAGAGTTAGTTTGAAAGTAGGTAACTAATTTATTGAAGGATAAAATTTAATTAAAAATATCTTAGTTTTTTAAATGGATGGAGTATATATATGATCTTTTTGTTTGATACTCCCTCCTCTCTTTCTAATTGGAAATTTTTTCTACCTCTTGATTATGGAGCATTTAATAATCCTCAATTTATTATACCCTAGTTAAAAATAGTTTTATTAATGAGATTAATATTAGAAGCCATCTATTGATTAGGGGTAAATGCTAGTTAAATTCTAAAATATTAAATTAATGACAATTAGATCTTGATAATTTTTTAAAAATAAATTATAAATATTTTTTTAAACAGTTTACCAGCAAGAATTTTAGATACAATTTGAGAATTTCATTTAAAATTAAAATTTCTTATTTATAATTAAAATTTTTGAATTTGTACTTGTTTAATTTAAATTGATATTTATAACTCCTTTTTCATAAAAAAATTTTAACTGTCATTAATTCAAAGTTAAGAGTAACATTCATGCTCCTGATAATTATTAAATAAGGGTGTCTTAGGAAATAAATGTGTACTTGCAATATATTTATTGACCCAACTTCATTGATACTTTATAATCCTATTTATAAGATATTTTTAATATATTTTACTAAAACCAATGAAAACCTTAAAACACATTAATTTTATTTAGAAATTTAATAATTTTTTAACTTTATTTCTATTAAATATACATACTTTAATAATATATTTTTTCTTTTCAACATTCAATGGTAGTCAAATAAAAAAATTTAAAATGAAAATATAATAAAATGACTTATAAATAGGACCTAAAAAAATTTGGTCCCTCTACCTTATAAATAGAATTAGAGGAAATACTTAAAAATCAGTTATTGGCCTCTTAGAAAATTTTGAGAGTAACTAATGATATAATGATATTTTTTTATCTAAAATTCTCATTATAAGGTTGTGCCAAAATTACTTGCAAATAATTAATGAATTAATTTAGATATTAAAAGGGTCAGCTATAACTAGAGGAGGGTAAATTTGAAAGGATTCAGGATATTAACTACTACTTCTATTAAAAAATATAAAATATTTTTAATTAAATTATACTTTTAATAAATTAATTAATTAAAATCTTTAAAATGACACCACCATCTTATCATACTTGTGCTTATTTGATATGATGTTTGATTTAAAAATAAAGGATTGATTCATTGATTTATTGAGTATATTTTTATAAAACGTCTCATTCATCACACAATAAAAATAAAAAATATTTTATAATTTTAATATTTTATATTAAAAATGTATTATATTTTTAAGCGAAAGGAGTGGCAAACCATTCTTGTTGGTGAGTAAAATGATGGTTAAAAATACTTTATAATCTAGATGTGCATTATCAAGCCACCCTATAGTGAGAAGCCACGTGGATGCCAGATGGAACAGTACCCATGCCATAAAAGGAACGTTGAGCCATATAGGGAAGGAAAATGGGAAAAGCTAAAAATGTAAAATAATGATCACACTCGTGTGTGTAAATGTCGGTTGACAATTACGTGGTTACGTTACGGAAGGTATTACTCGGCCAGTTTTTTTTTTTTAAGAAAAAAAGAAAAGGTCAAGAAAGCCCTTTTATTTATTATTTTCATTCATACACACAAATAGATATTCCAACTTAATTTTTTTTTCCCTCGGGTTCAAATTTGACCTAATGTTACTTTCTTGATGGTTATGGGAACCCATTTCGCTTCCTAGTTTGGTGAGTTGCAGTAAATTATTGGTTATATATATATATATATATATAATATGCATATGTATAAGATTCCTTTGTAAACTCAACTGATCTCTAGATGACTAGCTCCTCCGAATCGAAAATATGGGGAAAAAAGAGATATACGTATGGATTATTAATTATGATATGGATTGGAGGAGATGGAGATTCGATGAATGGACGTTCAACTGCGAGAGCTTTCAAATCGGGCTAACGTTTTTAGCAGAGTCGTAGAGAAGACGGGGGCAGCATCGTACATACCATAAACATGAAACTGAGAGATTAAGTGAATCGAGAAAAAGATGAGCAAGGTACACACAATTTATTGTGATAAGCTTTTCGTGGGCATGGTTGCATAACTTTCACAGAATAGTAAATCTCGCATGCATTTGAGAGGGTGGTACAATCTCCCTACGCAGTAGCTTTTGCTTTTTTTTTTTACCACTAAGTTGGACCAGGTTTGAAATTTGGGGGACAATTTGTACTCCCTCTACTTGACATCAAGCAATTTTTGTTAAAAAAAATATTTTTTATATAAGGCACACAACGGTAAAAAATTAATATTTTTCCCAATTTTATTTCTGATTTATTTATTGACATTTGAATTTTTGAACAACAATTTATATTTTGGTTATTAATTGTCAAGAAAGGTAAGATTAGAGAGTTATATGTTTTTTTTTTTTTTACAATTGTAAGATTATAACTAATATTTTTCAATTTAATAAGTGGGAAGTTGATTAATTTCACCTTATATTAAAGATAGGAAAGAGTACATGCAGGTGGATGATATTATGTATATTGTGTTGGTTATGACTTGGGAGTTGGGACTTTTTGTGAGACAGATATATCTCATAATTAATTATGCACGGTTAATTCTATTAATTGTGCAATTAGTTGTAATTTTAAATAACTATCTCACCAAACCAAGATAGAGAAAAGTAATTATACTTCCTATAATTACAAAGTGATTTTTTTCTCAGAATTACCTCAAATTTAATAATTTGAATTTCTACCTTATATTTAGTGGATTTTAATTGTTCTTCTCAATTAAATAAGAGGTATATAATTGTAATTATGTAATTGACACACTAGCATAATTTTGTTTCTTATAATTTGAACTAAAATAGAATAAGTCTTATAATTGTGTAATTTGTGAAAATTGTATATTAATATATCGATGATATGTTGATGCAATCTACTTGATTGTATATTTAAATTTTGTAAATAATATTAAGAATTATAATTATATATCAAAATATAATTTATATTTTAAAATTGAATTTTTAATCTTAAAAAAGCTACTTCTAAAATAGCTCAAGGTTAAAATATAACTACATTTTGGCCCTTTAAACATCATTTTAGGTTCGATCCTTAAAAATGTGCATAAAAAAATATCGTTTGAGAGAGGATAAACTTTTAAATGATACTTACATTTTTTAAAGGATTAGTCCCACACTTGTCGGTTGTAAGGAAACTTTGGGTTAAACTAAAAAAAAAAAAAACTATACTTCAAAATTTAATAATACAATTTCTTATTTTAATCTCAAATTTATGAAATTTGAGTCTTAAGACATAAGTTTTCTAATCAAAATGTTTGTATTTCATTAAAAGATCATGTTACTTCATCTAAACAAACTTATTAAAGCAATAATTAGCAAGTAACTGGGTAATTCTAGAACTTAAATACTGAATTAATTAAATACAAGGTTAATATCTCTTGTGTTAGATGAAATAAGAGGCTCGAACTTGAGAAGTAATATAAGGTAACATATTATTAATTGCTGTACGAAGCCTGATAAAAATTGTAAAATTAAAATCCAACCAAAAATTGAAGGCCGTACCAATCTTGGGCTACAGGGGAGAACTGGGGTGTGTCAATTAGATCTATGGTGTTTTCTTCTACTTGGTATGTTTGAAAAAATCCCAACAAATTAATGAGCGGTTTAGCTAATGATAAGAAATTAAGGACAATCATAACGATCACAAATCTTATTTTCCTTTTGGCTTCCCTGACTTGAATCGGTCATCATTGGAAGTTGTCTAAAAGAGACGTCATGATACAATATAATTAATCGAGAGAATAATATAAAGCCATATGGAGGATTGAGGTGAGAGATAGACCTTAATTGCTATTTTCATCTAAAATTAATATCGCATGGACGTCCTCCATCAATCAGTACTATATGCTTCTATTACAACTGCTCTCTTAAAATAGCATTATATATATATATATATATATATATATCATCAGAGTTTATGTCTCATGAGTTCTCTTTTTCTTTTGTAGGGTTGGGACTGCATTATTGTGCATAATATGAAAATATATACATACATACATATATAAATATATAAAATTATTTTTTACTTTTTGAGGAGAGAAAAAAAAAAGTTACGCCTGTATTTTCTGATGAAGGGGTTCTCTTAGTTAACAAGCACATACTCTCTATGTTTCAAAATTTAGAACGCTTTTAAGTTTTAACTATTTCACAATAATTTAAAAATATTTAAAA